CGCGTCCGCGCCTCTGCGGTGATACAAGAGACATGGGGCGAATTCCAAACAGAAGTGAGCATCCCTATGCCCTACTCCCTTCGAAGGGCAGAGCCCTTGAAGTGTGTTCTTTGAAGGGTGCAGGGTATTACTGTCTCGTATAAGCGTTTGGAACTCCCTCGGCGAAGGGAATGACTGACCAAATGTTACCTTGACAACGCTGCGCGTGCGTGCAGCATTCAGTACTCCATCAGTTGTTGCAAATAAATATTTATTATAATTATTATTATTTTATTCAAATATTGTCTAATTGTGTCTTATTTACTATTAAACGTTTTCAAACTAAACTTGCTTACACTACCGTCTTAAATCATATTTTTATCACTGACGAAAAATATGTTGTCTTACATTAAATTAGAAAAATTTAATTAGCCTATTCTATTTATGTTTGTATGTGAACTCGAAATCAACCCCAACTTTGCTTTAAAAAGCATCACAAGATCTCCTAACCGAAGATCACATGATCACTAACGGAAATCACATTGTGTGTGTATATATATAGATATATATATATATACACAAGTGATTTATTATTATTATTATTAGGGCTTCATGTTAATGTTAATTTAATGTTTTTGCTAAAAAAAAGTGCATATAGCTGCTAATTGTATTTGTTGTTTGTTGATTTTCAAATATAAAACTTATTGAAATGTTTTCAGTGTGTGTATCAGTTCTTTTTGAACGTTTATATCTAATTTTAACAAAACCGTGACAGTATTGATAACCGTGATAACTTTGGTCACTATAATCGTGATATGAAATTTTCATACCGTTACATCCCTAGCTGGCAGCATTCCCCAAAGTGTCCCCTAGAGGGGGACACAGCATCTCGTTCCCACTCTGGGAACCATGGTTACATGCATAACCCGAGGCGTTTTTCTAGGAAAATCCAGAGGCTGTGACATAAAACAATCATAACAGTTAGGGTTAGGCTGTTAATTAGGTTATGACCTGTTATCTGTTAATGACATTTGGTCTCTTGTGTGTTATATATCTCTGTTTTGGACAACATTTGCTCGCGTGCCGATTGCGAGTGTGAATAAGCACAAGCTCACGGTAACTGGCTGCAGTTCATTTATGGGTTTTCTGATTCTGACGTACTGTACCTTTAACTATTAAAAAGAACACATCTGTTATTGCAGAAAGCAGCACATACCTGTTTGACATTGTAGGCGAAAAGCACATACTTCATGTCTGGGCTTATGGAGTACCTGGTGGCTTTGAAAGTATCCTGGAAAAACATGAATGATGTTATCCTCATTACTGCATTCATATCCCATAAACTACAGACTGCGCTTCAACGTTCCTGCTGGGAACATCTCATTATGAAAACCTTAAGGCCTCATATCATGAAAACAATTAAACTTTCTTGATCTTTAGAGATAAAAGTTAATTGTACTATAAAAGCAGTTCTGTGGTCTTGAATTTATGAATTATTATGTAAACTGTTGACAGGGTCATTGGTGTAAATTCAGCTATCATTTTGTCTTGTGGACTGAAAACATCGGTTAGGTGAAATAGATTATTCAGGGCACTACTGAATAAACAAACTCACAAGATTTTTGATGCCGCTTATTTTATTAATTATTAACATTCTGCAAATTGCATTAGGTATATGTAAACGCATGTTCAGGTTTTACTCACGAATGTGGTGTTCTTCAGCACGATCTCGGTCTCATTCGTGAGGATGTTAAACCTGATCACATGACCATGATGATTTCTGTAGATGACCTCAGATTCTGGCAAAGAGTGAAAGAGGAGAAAGAGAATATATAATAGCAAATCGTGTTTGTAAGGTTTTGAAGAGCATTCACATCTCACAGCAATGCAGGATCAAACGCACCTTTTGGTCAAAGTGCTCATCTTGGTGATTTATTCGTGTAAACACAGTCAGCAATGTTTAAATGAATGCAAACATACATCTGATTGGTCAAAATCCATCTGTGTATTATTAGATTTTACAGTCTAAATGCAGCTAACAGACCAGCTGCTGCTTGTCATTTATTTGCTAAGTCCTATTTATTTCAAAACGAGTTCCCCTTTCTTTCCTGCATTTGACCTGCGCTCTCGCTCGTGTCCGATCTATCTTCTGACGGATAAACAAGCAGGGCTGCTCATCTGTTTCACGTCAGGTTATTCACATTTATGAGCTGCATGATGGCTGTGAAGGTAAATTTTCAGTCTGAGAGTCTCGCGGAGCTGCTATTGACTGCAGTGAGGAAAAGCAGACGGTGAAACATTAATAAAGCTCTCAGTTTCCAGCTCTAAACCGGAACAAAACTCTGAGTGCTGAAAGCAGAAAGTATCTGGATAACTGACTAATGGAATAATTCAAAAGTTACAGACACAAAATAAAACCAAATAAATAAAAAAATACAGCAGATATAATTATACTAGATTTTTTAAAATTAAATATATGATAAAAAATCTAAAAAAAAAATTTCTGGTAAAATCTTACTAAAGTCCCTGAGTGAGCGTACTACATAAAAAAGTTTTCTACTTGCATTAAATACCGGGACCGTCCAATAAAATATGGATGAAGGGCTGCTCTGAATAATGCTGATTAATGCATTTACAGCACAAACATTTGTCTAAAAGGCTCAAACAGATGATTGATCTGATGTGTAACGGCACAAACGGCTCGACTCAAAGAGCTCCAGGACGCAGCACAACATACACGAGTAAGAGCTGAATTCAGCGAGAGGTTTGTCTAGAAGATCCAGAGGAGCGTCAGTCAGAGGACAGTCTCTATTCAACAGCAGCACAGCATTCATGAGATGGGAGAAAAGCTGCTGTGAAATATTTATTCTGTTGTTCTCTGCAGATGAGATGTGTTGACTCGTTCTGAAGGTCACGTGCTGAGCTTACACACAAACGCTCGCTAGAGGACGATCTACACACTCAGAGTTATGTCAGATTGAGCTGCATCACATCCATGGCTGAGAACACTGAAGAACAGAGCTAAGCTGAAGTCTGGAGTGACTGATAAACACAGATCTGTATGGAAGAGAAGCAGGAGCTGAAGGATTCACTTCATCACACACAGACACACTCACACTCACACACACAACACACACACAATGAAATATTCATGCTGCTGCTGCCAGTGTAAGACCTGAGTGCCCCTTCCCCCGTCCTGTTACCATAGCAACTACCACATCCACCACTCAGACATACACACACTCACACTCACATTCACACAAACACGCACACTCACGCACACACACACACACACACTCACACTCACACGCACACACACACACACACACACACACACACACACACTCACACACACACACTCACACTCGCACACTCACACACAC